CATTAATATACTGTTGGATTCTGTTTGCTCATATTTTATTGAGGATTTTCCATCTATATTTATAAGAGATACTGGCCTGTAGTTTTCTTGTGGTGTTTTTGTCTGGTTTGAGTATCATTGTTATGTTTGCTTCATAGAATGAATTAGGGAGTATTCTTTTTTTATTATTATTGTGCTTTAAGTGAAGGTTTACAATTCAAGTTAGTCTCTCATACAAAAATTTATACATACATTGTTATGTGACCCTAGTTGCTCTCCCTATACTGGGACAGCACACTCCTCCTTTCCACCCGGATTTCCCGTGTCCATTCAGCCAGCTCCTGACCCTGTCTGCCTTCTCATCTTGCATCTGGACAGGAGCTGCCCGTTTAGTCTCATGTATCTACTTGAGTTAAGAAGCACACTCTTCACAAGTATCATTTTATGTCCCATAGTCCAGTCTAATCTTTGAAGAATTCGCCTCAGGAAGGGAATATTCTTTCCTTCTCTATCTTTTGGAAGAGTTTAAACAGTATTGGTGTCAGTTGTCTAAATGTTTGATAGAATTCCCCCATGAAGCCATCTGGTCCAGGACTTTTTTTTTGGTTGGGAGGTTTTTGATCACTGATTTGATCTCTTCACTTGTTATGGGTCTGTGGAGACTTTCTATTTCTTCTTGAGTCGCTTTGGGTAGATTGTGTGCTTCTAAGAATTTGTCCGTTTTGTCTAGGTTATCCAGTTTGATACCACACAGGTGTTGTTTATAGTATTCTGTCATAATTCTCTTTATTTCTCTCGGGTCAGTTGTTAATGTCCCCTGTTTCATTTTTTATTTTGGTTACTTGCATCCTTTCTCTTGTTTATCTTTCTAGCTGAAGGCTTGTCGATTTTATTAATCTTTTCAAAGAACCAACTTCTGGTTTTATTGGTTCACTCTGTCGTTTTTCTATTTTATTTATTTCTGCTCTGATCTTTGTTACTTCCTTTCTTCTGGTAGGTTTAGGCTTAGTTTGCTCTTCTCTTTCTAATTCCTGTAGTTGTCGAGTTAGGCTGTTAATTTGAGATCTTTCTTCTTTTTTCATGTAGGCATTTATTGCTACAAGTTTCCCTCTGAGTACTGCCTTTGCTGCATCCTGTAAGTTTTGGTATGTTGTGCTTCCATATTCATTTGACTCTAAGAAATTTATGATTTCTTCCTTGATCCATTGGTAGTTTAATAGTGTGTTGTTTAATTTCCATATATTTGTATATTTTCCAGAGTTTTTTCTCTTTTTCTTTTACTGATTTCTATCTTCACTCCTTTGTGGTCAGAGAAGATACTTTGTGTGATTTCAAGCTTTTTAAATTTATCAAGACTTGCTTTGTGACCTAAAACGTAGTATATCCTAGAGAATGATCCATGTGCACTAAAGTAAGAATGTATATTTTGCTGTTTTTGAGTGAAGTGTTCTATATATGTCTGTTAAGTCTAGTTGGTTTATAATGTTGTTCAGGTCCTCTGTTTCCTTGTTGATCTTCTTTCTAGATGTTCTTTCCAATATTGAAAGTGATGTATTGAAGTCTTCCACTATTACTGTAGTAGTAGCTGTTTCTCCCTTCAGTTCTATCAGTTTTGCTTTATATATTTGGGTGTCCCAATGTTGGGTGCATATATATATAATTGTTAAATCTTCTTGATTAATTGACCCTTTTATCACTATATATCCAATCTTTTCTGACAGATTTTGTCTTAAAGTCTACTTTGTCTGATATTAAGATTGCCACTCCAACTCTCTTGTGGTTATTATTTGCATGGAACATTTTTTTCCATTCTTTCAACCTATTTGTGTCTTTGGGTTTAAGGTTTGTTTCTAATAAACAGTGTATCGTTGGATCATGTTTTTTTAATCCATTCTGCCACTCTCTGCCTTTTGATTGGAGCATATAGTCCATTTACATTGACTGTAATTACTGATAAGAAGTGACTTCTGCCATTTTGTTATTTGTGTACCTTAAGCCTTCTTTGTCTTTTTTGTTTTAGTACTGCATGCTTTTGTGTTTTGTTGGTTTATTGTAGTGAGCCTTTTTGGTTCCTTTTTTCCTTTTATTTATTTATTTAATATATTTTCTTAGTGGTTACCCTAAGTATTACATTTAAGAGCTTGTATTTGTAACATTCTAGGGTAAGTTAGTAACAACTTAACTTTGGTAACATTCAAAAAGTTCTATATCTATACTGCCCCGCCCCGTTGTTGTTATCACTAATTGTATCTTTATATTTCATGTAACATAATTTTATCCTTGCCTTTTATATATTTGTTATTAAAGAAGGTGAAGGACAAAGCATTTAGAATTATCAAGAATGAATTCCTTATTACCAGCCCTTATACTTGTCCATACATTCCCGTTTATTAGGGATATTTCTTTTTATGCATAGCTTTGAATTATTTTCTAGTGTCTTTTCCCTTCAATCTACAGAATTCCCATTAGTATTCTTTGTAGGGCTGGTCTGGTAGATATGAACTTTCTCAGCTTCTATTTGTCTGGGAATGTTTTAATTTCACCTTCATTCTTGAAGGATAGTTTCACTGGGTATAGTATTCTTGGTTGGCAGTTGTTTTCTTTCAGCATTTTAAATCTATTATTCCATTGCCTTCTGGCCTCCAATGTTTCTGAGGAAAAATTGGCACTTAATCTTAGTGGGACTCCTTTGTATGTGACTGCTTCTCCCTCACTCCTTTCAGAATTCTCTTTTTATCTTTAATTTTTGAGAGCCTAGCTATGATGTGTCTTGGTAGCTGTGGTGTGTCTTGGTGTTGATCTCTTTGGGTTTATCCTGCTTGGAGTTCTTTGCGCTTCTTGGATTTGTAGATTCATGTTCTTTGTTAGATTGGGGAAATTTTGTGTCATTATTTATGCAGATATTCTTTCTATCCTTTTCTCTCATCTCCTGGAATTCCCATGATGCATATATTAGTTCTCTTGCTTTTGTCTCATAATTCCATCAAACTGTGCTTGGCCTTCTTAGCTTCCACTCTTTTTTTTTTTTTTGTACTTTAGATGAAGGTTACAGAACAAATAGTTACTCATTAAACAGTTAGTATATATATTGTTTTATGACAGTGGTTAACAACACCACGACATATCATCTACACTGTCCCTTTTCAGTGTTGGGTTCCCTATTACCAGCTTTCCTGTTCCCTCCTGTCTTCTAGTTCTTGTCCCTGGACTGTTGTGTCCCATTAGTCTCATTTTGTTATATGGGGCTGTCTAATCTTCGGCTGAAGGGTGAACCTCGGGAGTGACTTCATTACTGAGCTAAAAGGGTGTCCAGGGACCGTACTCTCGGGGTTTTCTCCAGTCTCTGTCAGGCTAGTGAGTCTGGTCTTTTTTTGTGAGTTAGAATTTTGTTCTGTACTTTTCTCCATCTCTGTCCAGGACCCTCTGTTGTGATCCCGGTCAGAGCAGTCATAGGTGGTAGCCAGGCTCCATCTGCTTGTACTGGACTTAACCTCCGTTCTTGTTGCTCTTCAGCATCTGTAATTTTAACTATTTTATCCTCTAATAATTCGCTCATTCATTCTTTTGCCTGTTTAAGTCTGTTCGTAGGTCTTTCTGTTGTGTTTCTCAGTTCAGTTATTGTCCCTTTCAGTAGCAATATCTCCTTTTTTTTAGATCATTTTGTTCTTGCATTGTTTTTCTTATTTAAGCTCTTTGTCTATGTTTTTCCTTAGTTCTTTAATTATGTTTAATATTGTTGTATTATATTCTCCCATTTTTTTCATTATTTGGTCATCCTTAGATGTACTTTCACTGTTTGTCTTGTTTATTTGGATGGGCCATTGTTTCTCCATTCTCTGTGTATCTTGTAATATTTTGTTGTGGCATTGTGGTTTTTGAGGGTGTTAACTTCCTCAGTTTTCTCCAGTATTTGGTGTTTTTTCCCAGCACTACTTTATCTCCAAGAAACTCTTAGGTGAGCAGAGCCTTCAGCCTTTGCTTATTGTTTCCTCTCCCTATCTGTGATAGCTCCTTCTTCCTCCCTGGTTTAATTGGAATTCGAAAGTTCCAGATCTCATTTTTCAACTTTCAGTCTCTCCCAGACTCATCAGAGAACATGCTGTGGTCAGTCTGTTCACCAGGGGGCACAGTCCTGTCTCTCTGGTTATTACTTCCTTCCCTTGTCGGTTTCTGCAGTCACATTTTTAGTCAGAAAACCCACACCCAATGAGCCCCCTTCGGGGCTGGGTGTTGCCTTCCAGTTTTGCCCCAGGTTTCCTTCCCTGCGCTGTGGGTGCTGCTTATAACTGAGCTGGCATTCAGAGGACGCGTAGGCAGACTTTCCTCCATTTCAGGAGGAGGAGGGTCTGGCACTCCCCAGAAGAACCTGTGCAAGATCTGTCTGGTTGGTTTCAGAGCCCCAGTGGCCCCATGGTGGTCGGGGGGAATAGTCTTTACTTAGGTGACCCACCTCCTGCCTCGACTGTAAGGAACCTTCTGTAGGAGTTTGTGTTAGTCCAGCAGCCAACAGTTACTGGTTGGGGAGGGGTAGTCACTTGAATGGACCTCCAGGGAGGACTGCCTTGTTGCTGTCATACCCCTCAGCTGGAGTATATTGACTGTGGGTATAACCTACACTCAAGATGCCTGTTTCTTGACCTAGGAGCAGCCTGACAGGGAGGGATGGTGTTCTGGGTGCTGGTGTGTGGGCACCATTAAGGAGGGTCCTCCAGTCAGTCCAAAGAGTCCAGCACCCAGGAGGATGCTAAGAACGAGGAGAGAGTTGTCCTAGCCTCTGAAGGGCTCCCAGTCTCACCAGGAATGGTAGCTGTGGGTGGGAGGTGAGGTTTATGTGGAGTCTGTGAAGGGCTGGGATTTAAGATGGGGGTTTGTTTGGTCCCTTTAGTGCAAGAATAGGCCCCAGCCAGGAAGTTGAGGGCCGGGGCTGGGCTTCCGTGTCCTGCACACCCCCACAGCTGGACCACAATTTGGGGAGGCTCTCTTCAGTCCCTTCTATTGCTGGTTTCGTGCTTCTCTTGCAGGGCCCCGAACATCCCAACCCTGGAAAGCCATTCACCGCCAGAGGGTTTCCCCGCCAGTGCTATCTTCCGGACAATCCCCAAGGCCGTAAGGTAAGTCCCTGCCATCTGCTGGTGGCAAGCGGGAACTCGCCTCTGGTTAGTGGGCCAGAGTGGACTGCTGTCTCCTGGAAGGTGGACTGTGCTAGTTGCTTGTGCAGAGTGCAAAGTAGTCTGGGGTGCGGGAGGGGTTTGCCTGGTTGCCGCACCCAGCTCTGCCTCTGGCTCACCCTCTTTACTGTAACGTGAGGATGAGCCCGAGGGCTGGCCTGGGATGTTTGCCACCCTGCCAGCGTTTCTTCCCAGCTGCTGTGTATTAGGCATCCCTGGGTGCCGGGGTACAGGGAGAGTGTATTAGTCTCCACCAATAGAAATGTATTATCTCACTTGTGGAGGCCATGAGTCCAGACTCAGGGCAACTGCAAGGCTGTCTCTCTCTTCCACTCTAGGGGAAGATACTTCTTTGTCTTTTCCAGCTACTTGGGGTTTCTTGGCTTTTAGATGCATCTGCACACGGCCACTGTCCCTTTCTGTCTCTCTGTTTCTTCTCCACTTTTATAAGGAGTTGCTCAGACTAGATTAGGACTCACCCTATTCTAGTAGGACCGCATGTTAACTTAACTGATACCATCTTCAAAGACCTTACTTATTTCCAAACAAAGTCCCAGGTACCAGGGCTTAGGACATTAACTTATGGTTTTTGGGGACACAATTGAATCCATAACAAAGAGATACTTGAACTTGACAAGGGGCTCTAGTGAGGAGGAGAGAGAATCTTCAGCAGCCTGTTGGATGGGGTCCCGTGCTCTTCATCAAGTCAGAATAGCATGACGTGATAGGGAAGGAGGGTGGTCGGGCGTGCCTGAGGAGTGAGGGCTGCGCCTGACCTGAGTGGGGAGGTTCTAGCTATGAAAAGTCCAGGGAAGAACATTGCAGGCAGAGAAAACAGCTGATGTGGAGTCTTTGCTATGGGATTGGGCCAGGAATGTGTGAAGAACCAGAGGAAAGTTGGGGGCTAAAGCCTGGTGGGTGTGAAGAGAGAGAGGGCAGGGCCAGTAGGCCCCCAAGTGCCAAGTATTTGGGTTTTATTCTAAGTGCTGTGTGAAGCCATGGCGGGGGTGGGGTGCGGGGGGTGGCGGGGTGGGAAGGGCAGTAGAGGAGTAGGAGCCTCTACTTTTAGCTTTAAAACAAAACTGGCTGCTGTGGAGAGTGGACAGATGGCCAAGAGTGCAGGCAGAGCAAGCGGTAAGAATGGGACAGGCCAGCGAGGCCTGGATTTGACCGAGGATGTAGAGAAGGGAGCTCATCCACGGTGGATTTTGGAAGCAGGGAAGAATCAAGAGTGGCTCCTGGTTTGGGGCTGGAGCATCTGAGTTGATGGTGGTGCCATTTTCTGAGGTGGGGTGGAGTTGGGGTAGGGGTGGTGTGGGTTGAACCAAGAGTTGTGTCTTGAACAGGTTGAGTGTGAGATCCTGTTGGGATATCTGGTAGGCAGTTACTAGTTCCAGGGGGTTTGAGGCTGGAGCTAGAGACCAGGGGACCCCCTAGATGGTATTTAATGCCCAGGGACTGTGATGATGTCACTGGGGTTGAGCCTCATGGAGAGGAGAAAGGCCCAGCCCCAGCACTGTACCTACACACAGCTGGCATTTGGTGGCTGGGTGCTGCGGTGTCTTTGTCATTGGGGAAACTTGAACCAGTTTCAGGAGAGGAGGCTGCAGGCAGAGGCTTGAGGGGCGGTGGGATGCTCCCACCCTGCTGCCTTCCATCTCCTGTCCCCAGGGTGAGGACATGAAGGCTCAGGCTGGGCACTTGTTCATCTGGCCCTCCCTCCCTCTCTTCCTTCTTCTCCTCCTCCACGGGCAGGTCCTGGAGCTCCTGAAGGTGGCCTGGAAGAGGCGACTTATCTTCACAGTAGGGACATCCAGCACCACAGGCGAGACTGACACAGTAGTATGGAATGAGATCCACCACAAGACAGAGATGGACCGCAATGTGACAGGCCACGGCTACCCCGACCCTAACTACCTGCAGAACGTGCTGGCTGAGCTGGCTGCCCAAGGGGTGACCGAGGACTGCCTGGAGCAGTAGTGACCCGCCAGCCTGGCCTGCCCCGCCCCGCCATACTTCTTCTGGCGGCTGCCCATTCCCCCATTGCTGGCTGGGATGAGCAGGCAGGAAGGTGCCTTGCCCAAGAGGCTAGAATGCTTGTTCAGGCACTGGGCATGCTCCCCTGATGCCAGGCTATGCCTCCCTGCCTGTCTCCCTTCTTCCTCCCCTTTGGGTGTGGATCCTTGTGGGAATTGGGCAACCCTGGAGAGTTGTACTTGAAGAGGGGGTGTAAGATGCAGCTACCTCAGTGCATGGGGCCCCTCTGTCATCCAGAGGGCTGCTTTGGGCCCACAGTGCTCGGAGCCTGGTGCAGGGTAAATAGAGATTGCCCCATCCCTAGCCAGGGGTGGGCATGGGTTCTGGGTAAGCTTTTCATACCTCATATTTTCTGTTTGCAATAAATGCCCAGTAGCCAAAGTGAGCAGGCCCTGGTATGTTTGTCAGTGGAGAGACTGTGTGTGTTGCGTGTGTGTGTGTGTGTGTATGATCAGACCCCAAGTGGGCAGGCTGGCACACAGCTGTCCTGCAGCAGTCACCCCCACTGCAGACAGAACATCAAGAGCAGGAAGGGTTCCCACAGGCTGCCTGTTCAACCCCCATTTGATAAATGAAGAAGCTGAGGTCAGGGTGAGGGACAGCCCCTGGCACTGACCTATACTGCATCCACAGTACCCCCACTGTCTTAATTCTCCTTCCAGGGTTCAGGCCAACAACTCTGCCATATCCTGCCATTCCAGAACAGCCCCCATACTTACTCCCCATGGTTCTGGTTTACAAAATGTTGTTAACATAGAGCAGGCGCTATTGTCTCCATTTTACAGATGAGGAAAATGAGGTTGAAGGGCACGGTGGTTAATTCCAGGTCACAGACTAGTTAGGTGGTAGGGCTAGGACTGAAATCTGGGCCAGGATTGATCCTGGCTCCATCCTCAAAGTTCTCATTCTGCTGGACCCTCTTAAAAGGAGGGCCAGCCACCAGTACTCCCAGTCACCAACAGGGCAGGGTCGAGACCTTGCTCTGCCTGAGAAGAAGGGTTCAGACCTGGGGCTGGAGGGACAGATAAGGCCGCATTATGACTGTTGTGGGCCAGAGGTGCTTTTGCCTCGGTGAGCCCTCTTCTCCATTAAAAAAAAAAAAAAATTATAACACGTTGGTATAAAGATGAATATATTAATATTATATAATATTAGGTGAAACATTTTCTTCTGTCTAGAAGTTCATTTTTTTCCTGATTTTAAAAGAAAACATTTTTGTGGGCCTGAAAGTATTACAGGCTATAGGCATTGTGGCCTAGTGGGTAAGTTGGTCCTGGGGTAAAGGGCAGGGGAGGTCTTGGTAGAGAACCCCAGCACCTCAGCCCAGCCTTACTCCAAACCTGTTTGTTTCCAAATCTGAGAGCTCATACTGCCTCCCAGAGCGCAAGAGTGGGGGACTTGAAGGCTGGGAGCCATTAAAATATACTGAAAATTTGGATGGGAGAAAAGGTTTGCAAGTTATGTATCTGATAAGAGTCTAAAACACATAACCCGTAGCCATCGAGTTGATTCCAACTCATAGCAACCCTATAGGACAGAGTAGAACTGCCCCGTAGGGTTTCCAGTGAGCGGCTTGTGGATTCAAACTGCCAGTCTTTTGGTTAGCAGCTGGGCTCTTAACCACTGCCACCAGGGCTCTAGTATCCAGAATATATAAAGAACTCTTGCAATTCAGCAAGACACCCAATTAAAAAACAGGCGGAAACATGGGCAAAGGGTCTGAATAGACATTTCTCCAAAGAAGATATACAAAATGGGCAACAAGCACGTGAAAAAATGCTCAACATCAGTAATCAGCGAAATGCAAATCATAACCACAATGAGATACCACCTCATGCCCACTAGGATGGTGTTATGGATTGAGTTGTGTCCCCGAAAAATATGTGTCAACTTGGTTAGACTGTGATTCCCAGTATTGTGTGATTGTCCACCATTTTGTCATCTAATGTGATTTTCCTATGTGTTGTAAATCCTGCCTATGTGACGTTAATGAGGGAGGACTCAATCTGCAAGATTGGGTTTTGTCTTAAGTCAGTCTCTTGAGATACAAATAAGAGAAATGAGCAGAGAGACGGGGATTTCCTACCACCAAGGAAGCAGAGCTGAGAGCAGAGCACATCCTTTGGACGTGGGGTCCCTTGCTGAGAAGCTTTTAGACCAGGGGAAGATTCATGACAAGGACCTTCCCCCGGAGCTGACAGAGAAAGCCTTCCCCTGGAGCTGGCATCGTGAATTTGGATTTCTAGCCTCCAAGACTGAGAGAGAATAAATTGCTCTGTTAAAGCCATCCACTTGTGGTATTTCTGTTACAGAAGCGGTAACTAAGAAGGCTGCAATCAAAAAGATGGACAATAAAATGTGTCAGTGAGTATGTGGAGAAATGGAACCCATATACACTACTGGTGGAAATATTAAATGCAGTAACTATGGGAACCAGTTTGGCAGTTCTTCAAAAAGTAGAGTTACCATTTAAAAAAAAAAAAAAACCCGTTGGCATCAAGTTGATGCCAACTCATAGCAACCCTATAGGATAGAGTAGAATTGCCCCATAAGGTTTCCAGGGAACAGCTGGTGGATTGGAACTTCCGACCTTTTGGTTAGCAGCCGGGCTCTTAACCACTGCACCACCAGGGCTCCAAGAGTTACCATATGACCTAGCAAGTCCGCTCCTAGGTATAGACCCAAGAGAATTTAAAATACGCCTACACACAAACTGTACGTGAACATTCATAGCAGTATTATTCATAATAGCCATAAAGTTGCTGATGAAGAATAAACATTCATGTGTTGAATGAATGTATCCATAAACTGATGAATGAATAAAATGTGGGATATCTGTACAATGGAATGCTATTCAGCCATAAAAAGGAATGGAGTTCTGATACTTGGCTACAACATCGATGAACCTTGAAATCAACGCTAAGTGAAAGAAGCCAGGCACACAAGGCGACATAGTGTGTGATTTCCATGTATATGAAATGCCCAGAAGAGGCAAATCCACAGAGACAGGAAGGAGGTTAGTGGTTGCCAGAAGTTAGGAGAGGGTGGGTATCGGGTTTCTTGGGGTGATGAAAATGTTTTGTATAGTGGTGATGGTTGTACAACCTTGAAATATACTAATAACCACTGAATTGCTCACTTTAAAAGGGTATTTTATGATATGTTTATTATATTTCAATAAAATATAGAACCAAAAGGAATAATGTAAGTGGAAGGCTATCAGCTGTTAAGGACTCTGCCGACATTTCTCTGAGTCCAGCTTCTTTGGACAAGGGAACTGAGGAACTGAGGCTGGCCAAGAGGGGAGTGGTGTGGCCTCGTGATGGGGCTGGAGCTGGGCAGGTTGGGGCTGCTCCCTGCTCCCCTGCCCCCGCCCCACACACCCTGCTCCCCACTCCCTGGGTGGGGATAGGAGGCCTGAGGGAGGCTCCTGGCACCTGGGGCACAGGAATCTCAGGCACGCAGCCCTGACCAATGTTGCCAGAGGCTGGCCCCTCCTCGCCAGGGCTGGGAGGCCTGATGGGGCCGGTGTCTGAACATTTACTCTGGGATGCTGGGGTGGCCGGGTTGGCACCTGGAGATCCAGCGGCCCCTCTCCTTCAGGCCGGGTGGTGGGGCCTGGCACTGGCCTGCCCCACACGAGAGCACTGGCCACGCCTGCTGCCCGTGGTGGGCCGGGCTGGTTGGGGGCAGGGGGCGGCGGGCATTTGCAGTTACAAGTCTTTCCAGCCCTGAGCCAGCCTGGCAGCCTCACTAACCAGCTCTTCTGGGGTGGGGGTGGGTAGCCCCTGAGAATCACTACGCGGCCCCGCCCAGGCTGTGGATGTGCAAGAAGGCTGGGTGCTGGCTGGCCGGTATGGGGCTCCCCCAGACACAGCCCCACCCGTGGCTGCTGATCCTGGTGCTGAGCTGGCTGAGGGCCATTAGGAGCCTGGGTGAGTGGGGTCACGGGATGGGTGGGCCTGCCCAGGCCTAGGGGCTGGGGTGCCTGCTGGAGTGTTCAGACCCTGGGAACCCACCCCCCCACCCCAATTGTGAGAGGCAGCCCCTAGAGACAGCAGTCCTTCACTCTTATCTCTGTGGCCGCCACTACTCACCCTTGTCCCCCATGGCCACAGAGTTGATCCCCTACACGCCGCAGATAACGGCCTGGGACCTGGAAGGCAAGGTCACGACCACCACGTTCTCCTTGGAGCAGCCGCGCTGCGTCTTTGATAGGCATGCCCGTGCTACTGACACTGTCTGGCTGGTGGTGGCCTTCAGCAACGGTGTGTGGTGCAGCTCTGGGGCCTGGGGTGAGGGGTGGAGGTGAAGGAGGGGGCAGGAGGCCTGGAAGCCCAGGCCAACGTGCCCCTCGCAACCACCTTCAACAACTTGAGTACCTGCCAGGGCTATGTAAATGGACAGGTGGCTCAGACACAGCCCCTGCCCAAAATGTCTGACTGTAGTGGCAGTGGGAGCAAGC